TGAAAACAATAGTTACGTTTTGTATATATTTTATATTCATTGAAATATACATGATATTAAACTAATCGATTCTTCATGCTACAAGAGAAGTGTGTAATACAACCACGCAAACCATTTAATATTGAAGCAAAGAGACAATTCAAAAGGAAGAATTAAAAGAAATGTGTCAATAAGCAACTATGAGAGACAAAAGAAGCATCGAAGGATAATAAGAGAGATAGCCACAGAGATAAATGTAAGGAAATTGATTTTTTGCCAGTTCATACATGATTTAGTACAAAAGTATTGTGAATAATTAACGTTAAGCACTTACATATACAAGACCATGGATTTTGTCGAATAACAATAAGCATCATCTTGAGTACCAATAAATATTTTCTACAAATCTGCCAGCATATATATATATATACACTAAGCCAATTATTTTACTATGTACCGGTCAACATCTCTTGATTTAACATCGAGCAGCCTGAGTATTAAGCATAAATTTATGCAAAAAATACAATCAACAAATCAATCACAAATTAAACTTCAACCCATCGATGAACGCCAACAATCCATTCAAATTAATACAATTCGACCAATACCAACAATCCCTTCAAATTCAATTCATCAATGTCAACAAACCAGCCATCACACTCAATTTTTGCCTTGCCCAAGACCTTGTCCTCGACCACGCCCTCGCCCTCGACCTTGCCCTTGCACACTAAAATGTTTTTGTGCAGCCATCTTAATACGACTCTTCAACGGTTGCGCATCAGCTTTTTCATCTTCAGCGCGTGCAATCTTAGCACCAGCAGCAAGCAATGACCTCTCTTTCACATCCCTAATATTACGATTCTTCTCCTGCAATAAGATTTGTACACAATACTTTTTTCGCAATCTATCCAAAAATTCACACTTGACAATTTGCTCACAAACCTGCCAATTCAAGTCAATGGGCCAGTTTTTCATGTAGAACATAGTGGAAACACCACAACTGTGGATATCCGGGTGCATAACGTGGGGTGGCAACTCAACTGTATAATGGGGCATCCCACCGTGGGTCGGGAAATAATATCTTTACAGCCCGTCGGAAATACCCAAAAAGTCGTTCAAAAACCACTGAGTCTGAATTGCATCCATCAACAGCATTTAAGCTATTGAAATAAAAAAATTTCTTACGAAGAATGGACATGGAAAACAACACCCAGTGGTTCGAACGACAGAATGGGAAAAAGAACTGCAATAATATACACAAAACCAACTTAGCATATCATAAAGCATCATATCATCATCTCAGCTTGTTAAACTCAGCATTCCATATATACATAAAAAAACACTCACATTGTCAGCCTTTAAGCATTCAATCCGATCGTTGCCAAGGTATTTCATGTCCAACTGTCATTCCCATTCCTTCACCAGTTATACTACATGCATAGAAAAATATAACATCAGTTAAGGTTTGCCATAAGCATCAAATACTCAACGAGTTAGCATTATATATGATCAATAATTATCGTCGATACATATTTTATGCACATGTAAATATATACTCACAACCACGTTGGATGATACACAAAACTTGGGCATTGCAACACCGTTGTGCTTGCTTTCTCTTAAAGCTGATCTATTCAGAAAGGTACCAAATGCATCAACCACGTTGCTTGCAATGTTGGATGATGGACGTAAACTCTGGATATCATGCTTGAATATCACAAAGACTCCATCCGAAAAAATAATATCTCCCAAGTCAGCCGCTGATGCGCGCTGTAAATAAAATGCCCACTTGACAGTACTCTCTTCCTCCTCACTCAACTTGAACACATAAAAAATACTGGAGGAAGTTTCGTAGGGAGAACAAACTTTCGATGGTAGTCGATCGCGATGAACCTTAATTTCTTTTGTCTGGAGCTGGGGAAGGGAGGACATTGGCGAGTTGATGTTTTCTCGTTCAGTTGATTCATATAAAACAATTTTCTGCCAAACAAATTCATTAGTCTTAAAAAAGGTTTCATATATGCAATTATAAACAAAGCTAAAAGGCAATATATAATTAGTTATACCTTGCAAGTACTCAGTGTAATTTTGGTTGGCGAATCTTCCTTCGAAGGTCTGGCAACATTCTCAAAATCTTGTGTTAACCCAAGTGAAAAAAGACTCATTGGGTCAACATCAATTTCTGCATCGCATTTTTGTTTCTTTGTGGGAGGTACATAATCCGCTCATTCAGTTTGCACTTGCTGCTATAACAATGATCAAGAATATATTCTTAATTAATTCAAAATATAGCGGATATAATGGTTATCTAGCAATGATCAATTACAAATATCTGTTCAGTATTTTTTTCATCATGGGCAAGTTCCTCCTCCGGAGGCAAATCGCACCCAACAAATTCCTGTGATAATAATCAGGATTAAGGTTTGTATACATTGCAATTGTACAAGAAAAGCAATTGATATTATATAACATAACAAGATGAAAAATACAAACTCATACAACTTAAATCACCTTCTCTACATTCTGTCCATGAAGACCTTCATCTTCATTGACAGCTTCCTCCGGCCGGGGCAAATCACACTAAAAAAATTTCTATACAATATTCAGGATTAAGGGTTATGTACACTGCAATTGTATAAAAAAAGCAATTGATATACTACAGATCAACATAACATTGAAATTACTAACATTTTTTTTCAGAAATTTTGCTGCCATCAGCAGTATCATCTTCATGGCCCTCATACTTCTTCTTGTATTCTTTCTTTAAATTGCGAAGTCTTTTGGCCACCCGCATAATCTCATTCTTGTACCACTGTATCAAGGAATCAAGACAACAATCCAAAATCACTACTTTAGCACTTCAACAAGTATTACTTAGCATACCATATTGGAACAATCAACAGAAAAAAAAAAAACAATATGTAATCATCCTACTCTGTATTAGTTAATGCATCAAATTCAACATCTCAGAGATATTAATCCAGCATATCAACAAGTGTTGATTAACATATCACAGTGGAACGCTGAACATGAAAAAACAAACATGTATAATATCATCCTATGTATCAGCTAATACATCAAAATCCAACACTTCAGAGATATTAATCCAGCATATCAACAAGGATTCCTTAGCATATAAATGAATATTGCTTATACCACAGTGGAACAACCAGTAGGCAAAAACAAACAATATGTATACCATCCTCCCCTACACCAGTTAATGCATTAAATCCAGCATTTCAGAGATACTAATCCAACCTAACAACAAGTATTGCTTAGCATATCACACTGGAACAATCAGGATGAAAAAACAAATATGTATACCATCATCCTCTGTATCAGCTAATACATCAAATCCAGCATTTCAAATATATTAACCTATCATATCAATAAGTATTACTTTGCATATCACAGTGGAACAATTAGCAGGCCAAATAAACCATGAACTTCGTATTCAAAGTACATATTTCAAATTGGATGACAAAATCTAACCTTTGCTGATCGAACTTTTTGAGGGCTGAAGAGCTTGGCAACATCTTCCAATGTTATTTTTCGCTTGAGATGACATGAAAAAAAAAACGCACACCGCATTTCTCGTTGTGGAACTTATCAAAAAACATGTGTTAAAAATAAAAAAATAGCATATTACACAATGAGAACAATAAAACAGAAAAGTAAACAAAGTGATCGCGATATTTTAATTTACCATTAAGCAATGCATGTCCCCGGATGGCCTTCCACTGACCAAAGCTTTTTTCTTGAATTTTTTAGACATTGTATCCAGACCCTCCACAATCTTATACCGAACAAAACCAGCCCAATTAAACTCATTTGCCAACTCCTTGGACTCAAGGAACTGGAATATGCGATGATTAATCTTCGCATTTGATATGGGAGTAAGCAAGACATACATGCAATACATTACATATATTCACCAAAAATTACCATCACTCCTTAGTCTACTACTATCTAGTAACTCATTTAACGAAAACTCAACTATATGTTTTTTATCCGTTCCTATGAGTTTCGTATCTAAACTAAATCTATCAACAAAATTGTAAAAAGAATCAGACTCGTACAATGAAATAGGTTCCTTATTTTTGCCATATGGCAGTCCATAGACAACACCAACATCCCAATCAGTAATATATCACTTATTCCCATTAAATAGATGAAAGCACTCGCTATCAGGGTCCCAATAACTCAATAATTTCATTATATGAGCCACGGGAATAGCCATTGGCTTCACATGGAACAATCCTTTGAAAGGGCTAGTTTGAATATACCTCCGAATTGAATCCCGAGAAGGTTTCTGTAAAGATTCATTGAGGTGGGCGACCTTCCTGGGAATGCAAGACAGTTGAATGATTGGGTCCTTTGACATTGTTGATTTCTTTCGAAGAGTTGCGATTAATAGGACTAGGGCTTCGCGAACTCAAACTAGAGCTTTTCCAAAAATACAACAACAAGAACAACGATTTCACTTGGGTAACATTGAAGGAGAAAAACATTTAACGAATGATTAAACTTTCAATACTTACCGAATCTTGGGAGCAATGGCCGATGATGAAATCAAGAATCCCGAGCGCGTCTGTGTCGTCGATTAGAAAGTTGAAGATGAAGAATTGAAATTGCAAACATATTTATGACAATCTAGGATCGAGAGAACGAATTTGATGAAGAATGCGAATCGAAGAAGAATGCGAGAGAGAGATTGGTTTGAATCGCGCTAGGAAGGAATAGTACGAATAGAAGAAGGCCTAAACCCCTTATACCTTTACTCTGAAATTACCATCCAGCCCTTGTTTAATCTCAACCATTGAAATCTAATTTATTATGATGTGTGACTTATATTACAATAATACAATTACTTTTATATTAAACAATAAATATAAGAGTATTTTGTCTTTTTAACTACAAATTAATATAATATTAATATTAAAAAATATATTTAAAAAAAAAATAGAAATTCTCTCGGGACCGATGAAATATTACATATGAGTAGTGGCGATTTGATGATAAGATACAATCAAACAAACGATTGACATTATAACCATAAAACATTACAATCTCAATCGAAGCATATCTGAGTACAATAACACAATTCCAGAACATTTCACAACATTTATTCCTTAAAACAGGTTCAAGATTACATATCCAAAAAGAATATCAAACCATAGCCTATATATATATATATATATATAACAAAATACTCGTAGTGCATATCTAAACAAAGTTAAACCATAGCATAGCATATAATAAGATTTGGTAATAATTAATAGAGAGAAGCAGACAGTCTGGGGGAAAGCACAACATCTAATGGAGTGGTTTTGGCAAGTGTCATACCAAGACTTGCAGTCATGTCAACGGCTTCATCGTTCGGCGTCGAAATGTCAAATGCCTGCAGCAAATTAGCCATCACCAGCTTCATCATCTCCATCGCCAAATTTGCTCCGGGGCAGATTCTCCGGCCGCCGCCGAACGGGACCCACTGGAAATCGTTATGGTTGTTGCTGGTAAGAAACCTCTCCGGCAAGAACTTGTCGGGATCCTCCCAAATTTGGGGATCCCTCTGCAACTTCCATATGTTGATGAAGAATATCGTGCCTTTCTCTATTTCGTAGCCTCCCACGTTGCAGTCTTCGTTGAATTCTCGTATCCCGCCCAACGGCCCCGCCGGGTACAGCCGGAGACACTCTTTCACGACGGCTTCGAGGTATACGAGGTTGTCTATGTCCGACGGCTCCACCCGCCGCTCTCTCCCGACTTTCTCATCGAGCTCTTGCTGGGCTTTCTTTAGCACTTTAGGGTTGTTGAGTAAATGGGTCAGCAGCCATACTAACATCACTGTGTTCGTATCACTTCCCGATATCAAATTCTGCAATACGTATATTAAATTTATTTATTACAGTATGTAATATTAGTGTCGGAAGATCGGTTAGTTTGAGAAATTTGGAAAAGAAATGAACAAGTTAGTTAGTTAGTTACCGCACAAGTGGCTTTGATTATGGTGTCTTCATCGTACTCGTTTCCAAGCTTTGCACTTTTGACGACTCCAATCATTATATCCATGAAGTCATCTTGCTTTCCCCCGGCGGCGGCGGCGGCGCGATGTTCGGACAACCATTTAGAGATGAGAGCGTCCATTTCGTAGAACGTTTGTCTTATCTTCTTCTCGAATCCGCCGATGTCGAGATACCGGAGAAACGGGACGACATCGCCGATGGTGGGAATTCCGATGAGTTCAAAGAACGCCTTCATGACCTTCCGGCAATGCTTCGCCTCCGCCAGGTCATCGCCGGTATATCTCTTCCCGACAACCATCCTCAAAACCGCGTTCAGATTCAGATTCCCGAACCACTCCATCATCTCCACCGGAGCACTTCCCGACGCGTTCTTCCGCGCGTCCCAGACACCGTACAGCTCCCGGACAGACTGCGCAGTCTCGGAGGCGAGCACGTGCCTCTGCATGTGCAGGCGGCGGATGGACAGGAGCTCCATTCTGACCAGCTTTCTGACCTCCCGCCAATACTGCCCGTACTTGCTGAACCCTATCATTGCCGAGTCGTAGCTGATGAGTTCCCCCGACTTCAGTATCGGTCTGGACGACACGGCCGTGTCGCAGGTGGTGTATATTTCCTTGGCCAATTCCCGGCCGCTGACGATGAGGCATCGCCGGCGGCCGAACCAGATGCTGAAGATGGGGCCGTAGGTGTCAGCCATGGCGGTGAAGGTGATGTGCGCCAGCTTGTCGGGGGAGTTGTTTCTCATGAGGTGCGTATGGCCTATCAGAGGCAACGCGCCGCCGGCTTCTAGCGGCAGCCGCCCTTTAGAACGAGATTTGGGACTGCGGAAGATTATTGAAGAAGATAATGCATAATAGGAAAGAAGCACGATGAAAATTGTGGCAATGATAAACAAGTCCATGGTTTAATTTGTGTAATAATTTTATATATTAATTAAAACTGTAGGACTGGAGAAGTGGTGTCGGAGGCCGATTCCGGCGGTGGAAGAGGAGGAGAAGGTCGCCGGCGGTGAAAAGAAGAGAATTTAAGCAAAGAAAGAAGAGTGGAGAAGGAAGACTGGCAGTGTTGTTTTTGGAGTTACGACCAGTTTTTATAAATATTAGGCTCCGTGTCTACAGTGCTGAATTTAAAATTTAATCTTATGCTGAACAGTACATTGTGTGTATTGTTTGACAGCACATGTAGTAAGTATTACTAAATACAATACATTGTATATATTAATATAATACAAATATATTACATTAATAAAGAACATATGTTATAGTCTCAATAGCACATTATGTGTTGTGTTGTTTGACAGTACACAATATTATTACATACAACATATTATATATATTAATATAATACAAATACAACACATGAGTTAACAATGCATGTTATAGTTTCATACCACACACAACAGTTTGATTTTAGAATATGACATAATTTTATACAACATACTTATTATTATAAAAAAATAACACATATTTTTATTATACTTATATAATAATATTGTGTGTTATTTGTACATATAAATCTGCTGATTTGCATGATGCTGATTTTTTCAAATTAACACCCTAACTATCCCGGATATAATACTTAAAATTAGGTGGGTTCAATCTAAACAAGGTTTAAATATTTGAATTTTCTATTTAGGGTGTGTTTGTTTGGGGGATTGAATTTTTTTTTCCACTATTCATCCAATTTTTTTCTCTAAAAAATATTAAATCAAACACCTATTTTTTATTTTTCATATTATACTAAAAATCAATTTTACATTCAAAACATCACATCAATACCTATTTATATCACATCATATAACTATTCAAATTCAAAATTTTTCCTATTTAAATCCTAACTCAAAATCCAATCCCCAAACAAACACACCCTTAAAGGACATTTGATTTGATCGTCCTAAATAATGGAAAATGCTGTAGAAATTAAAAGAACACGTTCAATGATAAGGGTGTGTTTGTTTTATGTTTTGATAGTATTTTTTGAGATGCGAATATAAAAAATCGTGTAAATAATATAAAAATAAAAAATATGTGTAATATATTAATTTTTTTAAAAATATATTACAAAAATTTTATTAAAAAAAAACAAAGCCGAACTTCTATTAAAATTTTGTTTTCTACAAAAAAATTGTTATATTTTAATCTTAATTTCATTAATGAATCTGTTTTAAATAATCTACAATATTTTTTATTTTAATTTGTTTTAAATATCTTGCACTGAATATGAAATTTTCAATCACATTTTATTTAATTATATCATTTAAATAAAAAATAAATATATATTTCTTTTTTTTTTTTTAATTCCATCGTATTATTTAATTTTTAACTTATTTTACTTAATATTATTCATTTAAACTTATACATGTAGCAGTTGGAATAGAGAAAATACATATTTAAATTCTTTTTTATAAGTTCTAAAACTTTTAATTTAATTCAATAAATACCTATCACATTAATAATTTTCATTCATCACAAATTCTCAATCGATCAATTTTTATTAAAGAATCATTATTCTATTATTTTTCCAATTATAATATTCAACTCTAACATTTTCACGAGCGGAAATCCTTAACCGAAGCACCCTTCTATATTCTCCTTGTCAAAACTTTTGATACCAATTTAAATATTTATTCAAAATCTCGTTTAATTAAAAAATATACTCCCTTCGTCCCAAAAAAAATATCCATTTGCTTTTTGCACGTAATTTTAGAAATATTAGTATTATATTGGGATATAGTAGAAATAAAGTAGAAATGACTAAAATAACCTTATTAGTATGTGTGATATAAACGTAACGACATTTGTGTAATATATTGTATATTGTAAGGGTATTTGTAATGTTAGGTAAATAGTACAGTTACTATAAAAGAAAATGAATACTTTGTTATAAGACGGACTAAAATGAAAAAATTGATACTTTGTTATGGGACGGAGGGAGTATATTTATTTTTGGGCCAAAATTAAAAAATACTATATATTTTTTTATATATAAAAAGAGTAATATTTATTTTTTACACGTAGATTTCTTAATATTTATATTAAATTAGTTTGTGATTAAAAAAATATTCATATTAGTATTTTGTATAAATAATGATATTTGTGTAATATAATGTACATGATAATAATATTTATTATGTTATATAAGTAATACAATTATTAAATTAAGATATGATATACTTGTTTAATACGGACAAAAATAAAAAATAAAACTCTTTTTCGAATGATGTATTTTAATTGATTACTATTCTAAAACAGATGTATTTGTTTTTCTTTTTATCTCTTACGGAACAAATAATTGTTTTCATTTTAGTAAATTTATTTATTTTAAATATATTTAATAAATATAAATCAATCAATTAGATTTTTAAGCTTCTACACTAATGACTCATTCGAAACTTCTATATTTCTATATCACTTCCGTAAATAAATATTATATATATTTAAAACTTCTATTTTTATAAAATTTAGTTTAAGTTAATTGTAAATTTATTTATTTATTTTATATCAAATTTTTATTATCTACAAAATAGTATTTATGTTATTTTCAGTTTATTGAGATATTATATTAAAAATATTTAAACACATATCTAAATTTCTTTTAACAGTATATATTTCTTCACATATTTCTACTTTAGTCTGTTCAATTCAAATATTTAAATTTTTTCTTAAATAATTGTGGACCTACCACTAATTATTACTTCTTTCGTCTCAGCTAATTTGTCCACCTTGGCTGGGACACAAAATTTTAGATATTGTATAATTAATAAGTAATTAAAAAATATATTAATAAAAATAATTATATAATAAGATTAAGATGAATAAATAGTTTAATTAAAATAAAAAATAATTATAAATTATGAATTTTTAAAATGTGATTAAAGTATATAAATATATTTAACAAATTATATAGTACGGACCGAAATGGAAAGTGTGGATAAACTATTTAAGACGGAAGGAATAATATTTTTTAGGGTAAACTATATTTTTAGTCTCGTATTTGACCTCCTTTATCATTTTAGGACTTTAAGTGGACCATGTCTAAAAATAGTCCCGTAAGTAAAAAAATTTCACTAAAATGGTCTTCCGATGCCGGATTCGCTACGCTAGCCCGTCGTTGCTGATGTGGTTGATATGCCATCGCCACGTAGATGCCACGTCAGCAACACGTGATTTTTTTTACAAAATGTCTTGGTAAATAAATTTTTTTAGTCTCATATATGATTTTTTTTATTATTTTTAGGATATTTAATTAGACTCTCTCTGAAAATAGTCTTGCAAAGAAATTTTTTTCGCTAAAATAGTTCTTCGATGTGATATTTACATGGCAATGACATGTTACTCGCGTAAGCACCATGTCATCAAGGCTGAACAGCGTAGTTATTAAGTCCAAACATGATTTTTTCGTGCTGGATTCGGATCGTATTTTTTAGCCGTAACTATTATTGTCAGCTTTAGTTATGAGTTGAAAAAAAATGTCATGTGTAACGGGTCGAAGGAAGTATTATATATTAAGATCATTATTTTGCACTATAATAATATTTTTAACAAAAACAATTTATATTGGGGTAAAAATAAAATAAATAGTTGTGAATTTATATTTACGGTTGAAATAATTTTTATTTGTGTGTATTTTATTGTTTTATTGTCTTCTTCGCCTGTAAAACTATTTATTTTTTGCTTATTAATATTTGAATATTAATTATAATATCAAAATACAATATAAATTAAGAAAAATGGTAAAAATACTTCTATTAAGGCCCGTTTGGATTGACTTAAAAAATAAGCAGAAGCCAAAAGCAGAAGCAGAAGCCAAAAGCAGAAGTTCTTCGATTTTGTATTTGGATAAATTATTATAAAATCAGTTTTTTCGTAAAAAACTGTTTGGACGTTATATAGTTGAAAGTGCTTTTAAACTGTTAAAATTACTTAAAAGGATACGCGGTTAATATAATAGTATTTTCCTATAACACTTTTATAATTTAATTTAAATTTTATAAATTATATTTAAAAATTTTAAATTAAAGTATAAAAATTGTACTTTTAAATTTTGATTATTTATATTTTAAAATTTTAATTTAAGGATAATATATCGATTAAATATAAAATTACAATATAATATTAAATAATTTGTATTTTATAATTTATTTTAAAATTTTATAAATTATATTTAGTAATTTAAGTATAATTAAAAAGTTTATATACTCCTATTTAAATTTTAAATTTTAATCTAAATATAATACATAAATTAACAATAGTAAATTAATTATATTTTTTAATTTTTTATTAAAATATAATATATAAGTTATTTATTTTTATATTATATTATATTATCGGATTGTATTTATTATTATTATTATTAAGGATAAAATAATAATTTTAAATGAAAAGTGCTTCTGTTTATTTCAGAAGCTACCTCTAATGTGCTTTTGAAAAAAGCATTTTTCACCTTAAAAAACTGCTTCTGCTTTTGCACAGAAATCAATGCAAACAGGTGCAAACTGTTTTTTTAGAAGTAGAAGCCAAAAGTTCATGCCAAAAGCCAGTCCAAACGGAACCTTAGTATCTTATAATGCTAATATAACAATATTTGTATAAAAAATCATACATATATAAAAATTTATAATATTAATTACAATAACGCAAAATATATATATATATATAACTCTTACGGTGGACAAAAGAGGTATTTATTATTTTTATTTTTTACTTACTAAGAATTATTTATTTTTAATCAACTATTCCTCTCGTCCGCTCTCCCTATCTCTTGCCGTTAACTTAGTCTAATGACTTGTCTGGTTATATTCTGGTAACTCTCTTTGGTGTTTAAGTTTTTCGAAATCTATAGTTCTATTCCCCTCAATTTAGTTTGTTAGAAGTTTCAAAATATTAGAATATCATCTAATTTAGAAATGAAAGTTGTTTTATCTTTCGAAATATTATACTACGAATTTGAGGCACTTTCGAAACGTATATTCGTTTTACCAAAAGAGATATTGTCCTCAACTTAATATTGTTAGAAATTTTGGGGAAAAATAATGAGATTGTTTTATTGATC